CCCTGGTTTGTTAAATTTTGACAAAATCATTGTCAAAATTTTAATAATTAAATTATTAGGAATTGGGTAAAGAAACTGTAGAGTTTTATGTTTGTTAGATTATTTGTGTTTTTCTAGAATTTTTCTGGAATTTTTAGAAAATACTTAAAATTGATCCGTTTCGCGGGCAACTGGACGCCTGATAGTAATTCTATGATTTAGGGTTGGAATTGAAAGAGTATGGACTTAACAATTTTAATTGTCACATTTAGAAATTATTATTTTCTTGTATGCATTGAGTGTAGATACATTAAAAGTTTATTATGTGTATAAATTGACAAGAAACATATGATGGTTGATATGGTTTGGAGTGATGTTGGAGTCTTAGGGGTTGTGGGTTCAAATCCTGGCTAGAGTAAAAAGGAAGAAAATAATGGGTAACATTTTTGTAATATAATCCGCTGAGCGCACGAAAATCCGCTGAGCGGATTATGTCTGCTGATCGATCAACAGGTATTCTCTAATCGATTAAAAGAGAGTTTTGGGATCCGCTGGGCGCATCAGAAATGCGCTGAGCGGATTGTGGTTCGAATTATGTTGCTTACTTGCGGCATGTAATCCGCTGGGCGCATCAGAAATGCGCTGAGCGGATTATTAGGTGAAATATTGACTTTAAAAGGACAGTGTCATTATTCTGTAATCTGTAACCTAGTTCCTCATTTCTCTCTTTCTCTCAAACGTTTTCTTACCTTCAAGCGTCATTTTGAGGGAGAAATCTTGGTTTTCTTTAGAAGCTCCAATAGGTAAGTTGGTTTATCTCAATCTCCTCTACATTTCTACCATTTTATTTTTCAAAACGGTGCATTTTCTATTTTTCTCCTCACTTGGCTCAACTTGAATGGATGTAGGAAGAAGGTTATTGTAGGTTTTACACCTAGAATACTAGAATGATGCTTAAAATTGAGGATTAGAAATTGTTAAGCTAAAAACTTTAAGAGTCCTAATTCGTAGGTACTATTAATTGAATTTTTGGGACTTGTGTGAACAGAATTAGGAATTGGTATCTTCATGAAAGTTGTAGCTCTTTAAGTTGTCGAAATTTAGAAACTGATTTCACATTAAACGGATATTTATAACTTAAGTTATGCACATTTTACTGTCAAGTGTTCTAGCTGTGACGTTAAGAGGTAACCCTGTTTCAACAGCCTAGGTTTTTGAATTACTGAGATTGATACGTGTGAAATTAGGACTTTATTTCTTCATAAAAGTTGTAGGAAATTATATCCCCGAAATTTAGAAATTTATTTCATGTTAATATCTTATGTGTAGCAAGAGTTATAATCCAATTACCAAGGCATGTTCAGAGTGTTATTGTAGTTGAGCCTACTTGGAAATAACCACTGAAAACTGAAAACTGCATCTATTCTATAGGGTATTTGAATTTGTTTCCTTCATCAATATTGTAGGTAATTAAGTTATTGAAATTTTGGCTCAAATCTCATGCCAAAACAGTTTATATAACTGTAGAAAATTTTGAAATACTGAACCTTGTCCATGGTAGTTATTAGAATTCTTTCTACTCTAAGTGCCTATAAAATAGGATAATTTTCTAAGTTAATTGTAAGCTGAATGTGAGCTTAAAATATTATTAGAAATGGATTAGTAATACAAAGTGAATTTAAATTCTCATGAGATAGAATCATAGAAATATAAGATTCTAACTAGCATTTTATTACGTATATAGATTTTGCTGAAACACAACATCAAGCTTTGAAAGGAATAAGTGTGAACGTATCAGGTAAGGGGTGAGCTATATAGTAAGGATTACATCATAAACTTGTTTGACCTTATTTGTTGAATTTGTCTAAATTTGTTATGATTGATCATTTTGATTTTATTATATGCTTGGTTGTGAAAGTGATCATGAATTGCTTACGTGTACAATGGTGAAAAATATATGCTTGGTACTTTATTATGATATGTATGGTCTTTGAGTGAGCATTTATATGCATGGTGGTTTTTCATGAGAAAGTTCATTGAAAATTAAATTGAAAGAATAGGATGATGGGTTGTGAACCATTTTTGAACTGTATTGGAAGTTTTCTGCTTGTAACAGGTAATTGGAAATTTTTGGGAAGTCTGTATTACAGGGGAAACTCTGTCAAATTTTTGGAAAAATGTGAATTTCTAAGAAAAACCACTTAGGGACTCATACATTACTCATTTGAAAATGGTAATTTGTGAAATCTGGGGAATCGGAGATTATGGACTCTGAGAATACGATAGGGAGGCCCTGAGGGAGGACTTGAGGATAGGAAGGGTAGTGGTTGGAGGCCCCAAAAGACCCAGGCTCGCTACCTGTTGTCGGGGATCCCACTGTACAAACTCTGCTATACCTGACTGTGCTCTTACCGTATATCAATGGTCAGTGAGCTACTGGGTTTATATTTGAGCATGGGTCTCAACAATCCCGTGGGTGGATTTTCCATGCCTAGTAGTGTCAACTCCTGGCTACCCCAGTACTGATTTGAGAAATGATTCGGGCCCGCATGCATAAACATTTTAGAAAACATATTAGGATCATGCATCATTAACATCAATCGTTTGGAATTTGATTGACTTGTGAATGTTTATGATGTTGATTTTAAAATGATGTATGAACTGTTGCTCACCCTCTTGTATTTCTGTTTTCTTTATTTCCTTTGTGCTTGCGGTACTCGTTGGACCTGATCGATCATTGTTTGAAGAAAGGGGAGATGACACAGATTCCACACTCGATGAATATGTTACTCATACTCATTAGCTGGGAGCCACAATGATGGCAACATGTATTGGGATAAATATATCCAAACTTTTATAGATAGTCTTTTATAGTATATAGACCTACAGGGTAGTGAGTAGTAGTTACTCTTTTGTGTAGTTTGCTGCTCTGTAGGAAGTATCCTCAATGTTGTCCTTAATATTTTGGAGGATTGTACTAGTATTTTATCTATATGTAATTATGAATGTTTACTTTTAGTACTTTTTAAAATGATGAAATGCAGGAATGTATTATTGAAAATTTATGTATATTAATATTATGTACAAGGGAAAAATTATTATCGGTTAAAAAAAAAAATTTCTACTAAAAATTATTAATTCTTCGATTGAGGGTTTATAAGGTAGGGTGTTACATAAAGCTCCTGTTAATCGATTAACAGGGTTGTTAATCGATTATCAGGTCAATTAATCGATTAAAACACGTGTTTATGGGTTCCTATTGATTTTGGCTCTGTAATAATCGATTAACACTCAAGATAATTGATTATTTC